ACAACTAACCCGTAACCTTAACAATCAATGCATAACCTTTACAACCAACCATTATCCTTAACAACGAATATTCTAAAAATACAAAAAGAATAAAAAACAAAAATAATAAAATAATAATCCTCTTTAATCATTTCATATCATCAAAGAAACATCATGATAGAGAGAGAGAGAAAGAGAGAGAGAGAGAGAGAGAGAGAGAGAGAGAGAGAGAGAGAGAGAGAGAGAGAGAGTGAGAGAGAGAGAGAGGATTCATAACCTTAACAATTGATCCGTAACATTAACAATTAATTCGTAACATTAACAATTAAGCCGTAACTTTAACAACTTCCCAATACAAACAACCAAAATAATAAAAAACAAAAATAATAAAATAATCTTCATCAATCATTTTAACTATCCTCTTGGTACATCATGATAAAGAGAGAGAGAAAACGAAAATAATAAAATAATCCCCATCATATTTTAATAAAAGAGAGAGAGAGAGAGAGAGAGAGAGAGTATTCATAACCTTAACAATTGACCCGTAATATTAACAATTAACTCGTAACCTTAACAATTAACCCGTAACTTTAACAACCTCCCAATACAAACAACGAAAATAATAAAAAACGAAAATAATAAAATAATCCTCATCAATCATTTCAACTATCCTCTTGGTACATCATGATAAAGAGAGAGAGAAAAAAATAATAAAATAATCCTCATCATATTTTAATTAAAAAAGAAAGAGAGAGAGAGAGAAGGGTATTATGGTCTTCACATATTTTAATATCTTGGGTTTTGTGTTTTAGGGTCTCAGAGAACAGATTCTTTATTTTTAGGGGTAAAACACCCATTGACCAAGTCCTGGGGGTGGGAAGCATGTTCACTTGGCTTTTGGGGGCTGGAAGCATTTTTCCCAATAAATTACTATATTATCCAAATAATTTATATAATATTTTCATCATAAAAAAAGTACTAAAAGCAAACATAACTTATCATACTCCCTTTAAAAGTACGAGTTCGGAAAAATCTTTACATGGTCAGTATTACCCTCAACTTTTTTAAATATTACATTGTTATCCTAATCTATTCTAATTATCTTATCTTCTTTGAATTAGTAACTAAATAATTTATCATATTTAAAATGAGACTTATCATGTTATTGGATAAAATAATTTATCATATTTAAAAAAATTAGACTTTGTAAAAAAATCCTCCAAGTTTTTTAAATTACAAAAACACCCCTAAAAATTTAAAATGTTATTAAAACATCTTGAAAATTATAAATTTTACCTATTTTTATTCAGTGAAAAATCTAAAAAAATATATACTAGCTAGAAACTAAAGGTTTTTTAACTTTGGAGAAAATATCTTGTAGGTTTTAAAAATTATAAAAACACCCCTAACAATTTAAATTTTATAAAAAAACCTTCAAAATTTTAAACTTATAAACACTCTAAAAACCTACAAATAACACAAACAACCCCCAAAAATTTATGGAATTTATAATAAACACACTGAACTTTTTGCAAATTGTAAAATAAAACCCTCAGAATTGTAAATTTATAAAAATTATGATAATTTCTAACCTAATAGTACATTGAAAATATAGGAATTATAAATATCCCTTACATAATTTATAATATGATAATTTCTAACCTAATAGTACATTGAAAATATAGGAATTATAAATATCCCTTACATAATTTATAATTTAAAGAAAACACCCTTGAAGTTTCAAAAGGAATTATAAATATCCCTTACATAATTTATAATTTAAAGAAAACACCCTTGAAGTTTCAAAAATTACAAACAAAACCTTAAAATTTATAAATAATATCCTAAGAATTTCAAACTCATTAGTAAATTGAAAGCATATGGATTATAAATAGTCTATAAATAATTTACAATTTGTAGAAAAGGCTTATAAGTTTAAAAAATTACAAAAAAAACCCCTAAAATTCTTAATTTATAAAAAAAATACCATGAGAATTTCTAACCTATGGACATAAAAATGAATATACAAAATTACTAACAACCCCTAGAAAACTAAAATTTTACAAAAAATATCATACTCACTTTAAAAGTATAGATTTAGATAAAACCTTTAATGGTCAAAATTACTCATAACCTTTTTGAAAAGAACATAAATGATTAAAAATCTATTAATATTTAAATTTATAGAAAAAACACCCTTAAAGTTTAGCACATTACAAATTACCTCTCCAAAGTTTAAAAATTTTCAATGATTTTTTTAATTTCTTGATTTTAATATAATATTTAATACTTTTGTGTATTTGTAAATTACAAAAATTTAGGATAATTTTTATAATTTTTAAAATTTTTAGGGTGTTTCTTTTGTAGTATTCTAAATTTTTATTGTGTTTTTAGTGTAATACATAAATACGTCAATTAATGATTATATTGAAGAGTAAGCCGTTCTTAAGATTATTAGGCTATAGTTAAGTGTACAACACATCACTGTTCCTAGGCAGTGTAATTTATATATGTAAAAATTTCATATAAAAATTCTTTTACGAATTGAATGATCACTCATCTTTTGAAGACTTCAAGATATTAATAAATAGAGATGTTGTACTAGATTAATATGTTTATAACTCATAAATAGTAGACCAGACTGGATTGAAGGAAACAATAACGATAAGATTAACCCACCATATAATTTTGACTATGGTCATCATAAATTTAATACGTTTGATTGATTGACTATAAACGTATATAGACCATATATTACTTTACTTTCTCACATGAGCTAATATTTGATGCTTAATAATTTAAATTATTACTTTTAAATTTAATATAAAGAGGAGCTCTAAAACATTTATTTATCTACTTACAGTATAATACAATCTTAATTTCTATTTTTGCTAGAGATTTATTTTATAGTTAAGCGTATCAAATTAATAACTAAAATAATAATTAATTATGATTAAATTAGGATGATTATAGTTAGTCACTCACTATGAAGTTTTTATGAAGATATATACATTATTTTTTATAGCTATCTACACTACCCATGTATAATTTACAAATTACTTCTTAATTTGACACATTAAATTACTTTTTCTTTGTAGAAATTTTTTCTTTGACTTTTAGACTTTGTAATCACTATATCAACATTTTAGCGTACAAAGGACCTTATTCTAAATGGCTTCAAGCCAATATTTGAGTTGAATTGAAGTATATACTATTGCTACTATGTGTATATATTTTTTAAGAAAATTATATCAAAACTTTTTAAGTAGAAGAGAATATTCTAACCTCTGATATTATAAAAACTAAATATAGCCAATTGAGTGATTGACAAAAGAGAACTTACATCAGAAAAGTGTGAATAATAAGATAAAATGGAAAGGTAATGACATTGCCAACAATACTATAAATAGCAAACTATAATGTAAAATTAACATATTTTGTGGAGTCCAACTACTGACTATAAGCATTGAGGTTTCAATATATATACTTTATAATTTATTTTAAAATGTCATATATAGTAATATCGCTGTAATAATATCGTTATTAGGAAAAATTCTTCATGAATCAATATGTCCGTTATAATATATAAGCTATGCACTCCAAATTCTTGTATCTTTTATAGAGTCAAAAAGTTTGAATACAAGCCTCTAACATGTTGTTCTCACAACAACAAAATCCACTTAACAGATATGGATATTCTAGATGAGTTATGTATCCTATATAAAATATAATTGCCCTAGACAAGTGAGTTCTAATAGTATTTTTTATTCACATCGTTTAGGGTAAGATTTAATAGGGACCTTGTATCAAAGAAAAAATTTATATTTTGAGCACATAGCGAAATATATCATAATCTTCCTGTTCTAATATCGTAAGAAAATAATTCTTCATACTTTCAGTTTTATTTCTATGATATAGAGAATGAGCTATAAAATTGAATGAGAATATTAGATAATATAAATATGAGTGAAATAATAACTAAAAGTTAATGTGAATATGAGTCAAACCACAACTAAAAGTTTAATGGATATATTACAAGTAAATTCATATGCAAAATTCTTTTACGAATTGAATGATCACCCATCTTTTGAAGACTTCAAGATACTAATAAATAGAGGTGTTGTATTAGATTAATGTGTTTATAATCAAGATACTAATAAATAGAGGTGTTGTATTAGATTAATGTGTTTATAACTCACAAATAGTAGATCACGTAGCTACAATCTGGATTGAAGGAAACAATAATAATATTTTATTTAAGAGAGAGATTATTGAGTTGATGATCAATCCTACAAAAAAACTTTATTTTATTTTATTTTTACTCTATTGTTATCAATTTAAATAATCATGATATTTAACCACGTGCATTGCACGTGCATCTCAACTAGAAAGCATAAAAAAAACAAGTTTTCCTAAACACGCTCTTAGACCTTCCCTTAACTCCTTGTGAAACCGACACCCAAACGAGTAAGAACAGCTGAGCAGAAGTAGCCCAAAAATGGCCCAAGTTTTGGCCCAGAGTCGGATCCTGTCTAGTCGGGGCCTACTTATAGTGTCGTACTCAACTAGGGCCGATGAACGGATCGATTCTGTTTCAAACTCCAAAAAACTACAAACGTGTGGCCATAATCTGCATCGGCGGTCCAAATCATTGCTCTAATCATAGGAAGGCAGATTCTCTCGAGTAATTTAATAAGGAAAATAACTGATAATCCCTTTAAATTTGTAGGAAATGACACAACACTCCTCAAGTCTTACACTCTCACCATCTCCTTTTGATTATTATTTTTCATCTAACAGGATCACAAAGATATCATGCGGCTCATCCAATGATAAAAATTCATCATGAAAAAACATATGAAACAACAATTTACGAACAATATTTCACTCCCCATCTTATTCCATTTACGTACATCAGTAACCAACCATAGGCATAGCCTGAACGAGGGAACTAACTTGTTTAGCCCCTATACATAAAAGCTTGACACAAAGTTCTACATACTTAGAAGACACAAAATCTCTCAGTTTGTCTTCCTACAGTTGATCCTGATCTCTCCATTACTACCAGTAAGAGGACTTATGTTCCCCATATTAACCATTGCGCTAGCAAAATCACTGTAAAACTTTGGAAAGTTCGTCGAATAGGATTTCGTCTGAGAATCCACAGAGCCTCCACTGAACAACTGTTGATCTGAATGGAGAAGCCCCTTATTGTTAACCAAATCCCTGTAATAGGCATTATCAAAGAAATTGGGAGATACGGCATCAAGAGGGCTCAAGTTGTCGTCGCTGCCTGAGCTTGGGCAGTTCGATTGCAGAGAGCTCGCGAGGGATGAGTCGATGTTGCTCTCGTTGTAGATTCGTGCTCGGAATGTGGTGCATCTTGCCTGGCCTATGGTGTGTGCACCTGCTCAGTGACATTAATAGTGAACATCTAGTTAGGCGATGCTCTTGATTAAATTCACAAATAAATTGATCGAGTACTTGCATCTCCGATAGATCACTAACTTTTGTACTATGTTTAGGAGTCAAAATAGTTGCACGCGTGCATGAAGTGTAGAAAATTGTGGAAGCAAAGTCAATTTCAATCAGGTCGAACCCAGTTAAACCATTTCCGACAAGTTTATTAGTCAGATTAATTGGTTAACCTGGGATAATTCATACAAAAAAGTGATCGAATCGAAAGTGTGAAAGTCAAATTCCCGACCGCATCAAATCTGACACGCAGATCGAACCGCGGTCTAAAGCCATACCTGAGAGAGCTACCAGGTCGGTTGTACTGAGCCCCTTCTTTGAGAAGGCTGATATCAGAGCGCTGAGGTCTGATGTGGGTGAAGGAATATCGTTGTTGGCAGCGCTGAAACTTGCAGTTGTTGCATCCCTCCTTCCAAGTTGCACAGTCCATGAAGGTCCACCCAACTATGATTGATACCAAAACAAATGTAGCCCAAACCAAATCAAAAACACTAGTTAGATCCAGTCACAATGAAACTTTCTTGCGTTGTTTTAACTGATTTGGTCTTTTATGAATTTTCAACTTCTTGAGTTAATTTATGTATTGATTATTTATAGTGGTTAAATTGGTGCTCGGATATATGTAACTTTGTTACTTCTGCTAGCTATACAAACTCTAAAATTTTGGTGGAAGTGTGATGCTGAGGCAATTGCTGATGTCTTTTGGGAGAAATCGGATCGTGCAAAGTTCGGGCAATCCAAAAAAAAAGGGGATGATTTTTTTGCCATATTTTGACGTGCAACTTCAACGGATCATAAATTTTGATTCCTTTCATAAAATCCCTATTACTATATGTTTTCAGAAAGCTCGGAGAGTGCTCTATAAGTAAAACTTATTATTCATTCCAATCGTGTTTCAGGGTCAAAGGAATTCTTCTTCAAGCTCAAACAGCACGTCGAAGAGTTTTTATTTAATTAACCTAGTTTCTAGATCTTATGAAATGTTTTTATTTCTAGGAGGTCTAATTGCTTTAGGAAAGGTTATTTAAGTAGTTTTACTTTGTTTTATGTCCTATATAAGGGGAACGAATTTGTGAACTCTTTAGATTTATTATTATTTTAAAAGTTTTCTATTCCTAGAGTTTTCCAAGGTTTGTGCCGTTTTGCCCGTACGAGAACAAATAGTTATCTCTTTTTATTACGCTTCCGCAACATCAATGTGATAATACTCTAAGATGTCCTAGCATATGTTAGGCGCCTTGCCACGGCTAGAAACTTGATTTATACATTGTTATATATTATTATTATTATTTAATTTGTGGCCGGTGAAATCTAAATGTACGTAGATCGTTATAACATCATCTAATTGATGTTTTCTTTCACTGCACCGAAAGCGTGACCGCTATAATGAGAATTAAGGGCTGTAATTTATAATGAAGACTTACAGCAG